GTGAAGCTGGTTGAGAGAATGCCAAGAGTGTGCAAAGCTGTCATCAAGGCAGCTTTGCACACTCTTGGCAAAGGGTGGCTACTTTTAATGAGTAGGTGTGTCCAAACTTTTGACTGGTACTGTGTATGTATATATATATATATATATATACACACACAGTGGGGGAAAAACGTATTTAGTCAGCCACCAATTGTGCAAGTTCTCCCACTTAAAAAGATGAGAGGCCTGTAATTTTCATCATAGGTACACGTCAACTATGACAGACAAATTGAGAGAAAAAAAATCCAGAAAATCGCATTGTAGGATTTTTAATGAATTTATTTGCAAATTATGGTGGAAAATAAGTATTTGGTCACCTACACACAAGCAAAATTTCTGGCTCTCACAGACCTGTAACTTCTTCTTTAAGAGGCTCCTCTGTCCTCCACTCGTTACCTATATTAATGGCACCTGTTTGAACTTCTTATTAATGGCACCTGTTTATTAGTATAAAAGACCACAACCTCAAACAGTCACACTCCAAACTCCACTATGGCCATGACCAAAGAGCTGTCAAAGGACACCAGAAACAAAATTGTAGACCTGCACCAGGCTGGGAAGACTGAATCTGCAATAGGTAAGCAGCTTGGTTTGAAGAAATCAACTGTGGGAGCAAATATTAGGAAATGGAAGACATACAAGACCACTGATAATCTCCCTCGATCTGGGGCTCCACGCAAGATCTCACCCTGTGGGGTCAAAATGATCACAAGAACGGTGAGCAAAAATCCCAGAACCACACGGGGGGACCTAGTGAATGACCTGCAGAGAGCTGGGACCAAAGTAACAAAGCCTACCATCAGTAACACACTACGCCGCCAGGGACTCAAATCCTGCAGTGCCAGACGTGTCACCCTGCTTAAGCCAGTACATGTCCAGGCCCGTCTGAAGTTTGCTAGAGTGCATTTGGATGGTCCAGAAGAGGATTGGGAGAATATCATATGGTCAGATGAAACCAAAATAGAACTTGTTGGTAGAAACTAAACTCGTCGTGTTTGGAGGACAAAGAACGCTGAGTTGCATCCAAAGGACACCATACCTACTGTGAAGCATGGGGGTGGAAACATCATGCTTTGGGGCTGTTTTTCTGCAAAGGGACCAGGACGACTGATCCGTGTAAAGGAAAGAATGAATGGGGCCATGTATCGTGAGATTTTGAGTGAAAACCTCCTTCCATCAGCAAGGGCATTGAAGATGAAACGTGGCTGGGTCTTTCAGCATGACAATGATCCCAAACACACCGCCCGGGCAACGAAGGAGTGGCTTCGTAAGAAGCATTTCAAGGTCCTGGAGTGGCCTAGCCAGTCTCCAGATCTCAACCCCATAGAAAATCTTTGGAGGGAGTTGAAAGTCCGTGTTGCCCAGCGACAGCCCCAAAACATCACTGCTCTAGAGGAGATCTGCATGGAGGAATGGGCCAAAATACCAGCAACAGTGTGTGAAAACCTTGTGAAGACTTACAGAAAACGTTTGACCTGTGTCATTGCCAACAAAGGGTATAAAACAAAGTATTGAGAAACTTTTGTTATTGACCAAATACTTATTTTCCACCATAATTTGCAAATAAATTCATTAAAAATCCTACAATGTGATTTTCTGGAAAAAAAAATCGATGATGAAAATTACAGGCCTCTCATCTTTTTAAGTGGGAGAACTTGCACAATTGGTGGCTGACTAAATACTTTTTTTCCCCACTGTATGTATGTATATATATATATATAGCAAAAGATATGCACGTGCTGCCATCATTCTATTTCTATGTGTGCTGATGCTGCACCTCTTATGTGTGCTCATTTGCTACAACACCTTGCTTGTTTCAGCAAGTAGCAACAAAGTTTCATCACGTTGTTAGAGTCCATGTTATCACAGAAACGGACTCAACCACACGAATACCTGGCCATCCCTTTTCAGTCAGCTGTTGGTTCAAAAAATCTAAAATATATTTAACACTAGAACTGTTAAAGCAGTCATTTTGACCTCTCATTAATTAATTAATTTGATTAAATCAGCCATTTTTTAAGTCATGCCTCCGTCCTTGACTTTTCCTAAATAAGCTTATATAAAACGCACTGCCATTGTTAGAATCATAATAGATCATGCGTTACCTCCGTTTTGATGACAAAGAAACGAGAACGCCATGGTACGCCATGTCTGAAAACAGACAATTTTGCCATGGTACAGTTGAAGTCGGAAGTTTACATACACCTTTGCCAAATACATTTAAACTCAGTTTTCACAATTCCTGACATTTAATCTTAGTAAAAATTCCCTGTCTTAGGTCAGTTAGGATCACCACTTTATTTTAAGGATGTGAAATGTCAGAATAATTGTAGAGAGAATGATTTATTTCAGCTTTTATTTCTTTCATCACATTCCCAGTGGGTCAGAAGTTTACATACACTCAATTAGTATTTGGTAGCATTGCCTTTAAATTGTTTAACTTCGGTCAAATGTTTTGGGTAGCCTTCCACAGGCTTCCCACAATAAGTTGGGTAAATGTTGGCCCATTCCTCCTGACAGAGCTGGTGTAACTGAGTGATGTTTGTAGGCCTCCTTGCTCGCACACACTTTTTCAGTTCTGCCCACAAATGTTCTATAGGTTTGAGGTCAGGAATTTGTGATGGCCACTCCAATACCTTGTCTTTGTTGTCCTTAAGCCATTTTGCCACAACTTTGGAAGTATGCTTGGGGTCATTGTCCATTTGGAAGACCCATTTGCGACCAAGCTTTAACTTCCTGACTGATGTCTTGAGATGTTGCTTCAATATATCCACATAATTGTCCTTCCTCATGATGCCATCTATTTTGTGAAGAGCACCAGTCTCTCCAGCAGCAATGCACCCCCACAGCATAATGCTGCCACCCCGTGCTTCACGGTTGGGATGGTGTTCTTCGGCTTGCAAGCGACCCCCTTTTTCCTCCAAACATTAACGATGGTCATTATGGCCAAACAGTTCTATTTTTGTTTCATCAGACCAGAGGACATTTCTCCAAAAAGTACGATCTTTGTCCCCATGTGCAGTTGCAAACCGTAGTCGGGCTTTTTTATGGCGGTTTTGGAGCAGTGGCTTCTTCCCTGCTGAGCGGCCTTTCAGGTTATGTCGATATAGGACTCGTTTTACTGTGGATATAGATACTTTTGTACCCGTTTCCTCCAGCATCTTCACAAGGTCCTTTGCTGTTGTTCTGGGATTGATTTGCACTTTTCGCACCAAAGTACGTTCATCTCTAGGAGACAGAACGCGTCTCCTTCCTGAGCGGTATGACGGCTGCGTGGTCCCATGGTGTTTATACTTGCGTACTATTGTTTATACAGTTGAACGTGGTACCTTCAGGAGTTTTGAAATTGCTCCCAAGGATGAACCAGACTTGTGGAGGTCTACAATTTTTTTCTGAGGTCTTGGCTGATTTATTTTGATTTTCCCATGATGTCAAGCAAAGAGGCACAGAGTTTGAAGGTAGGCCTTGAAATACATCCACAGGTACACCTCCAATTGACTCAAATGATGTCACTTAGCCTATCAGAAGCTTCTAAAGCCATGACATCATTTTATGGAATTTCCCAAGCTGTTTAAAGGCACAATCAACTTAGTGTATGTAAACTTCTGACCCACTTGAATTGTGATACAGTGAATTATAAGTGAAATAATCAGTCTGTAAACAATTGTTGGAAAGATTACTTGTGTCATGTACAAAGTAGATGTCCTAACCGACTTGCCAAAACTATAGTTTGTTAACAAGAAATTTGTGGAGTGGTTGAAAAATGAGTTTTAATGACTCCAACCTAAGTGTATGTAAACCTCCGACTTCAACTGTATCTGACGTTTGGAACAAGTTTGTACAGAGCAGCATTGCATGTTAACAAACCAGGAGAGAAGATCACTGTTGATGAACAATTGATCCCAACAAAAGCTCGTTGCGGCTTTACGCAATACATTGTGAGTAAATCCGTCAAGTTTGGAATTAAGTTTTGGTTTGACGTCGACACCAAGTACATGATGAATGGCTTTTAGAATAAGGCCGTAACGTAACAAAATGTGGAAAACGTCAAGGGATCTGAATACTTTCCAAATGCACTGTATATGAAATGTATTAATTACACTGTTACATGCTGACCACACCACACGCGTCGCGTGCGCTTCAAAATAAATCTACACATAAATGTTATTCAATCATTGCACCCACACCACTCGCGTCTGCATAGCCAGGCGCTAAAATAGAACTTGGTTGTATTTGTGACGTATGACGCACAGCAAGTCCTGCCTCTCCCATCTCCTCACTGGTTCTAGTGTTAAACAGTTATGACGGTTATTTTATTATCCATAACTGTCGGTTATACGGTCATTGTGCCAGCCATACTCTACACACACACACATTGTATTATTTTAATATTGTATATTTTATACTGTAAATTTGTAGTAATGGAGCAATGTACATACTGTAAGTATAATGCAATGTCTAGTTTGATGTACTATTTTATTTTTGATGTTGGCTATTGTTTAACTATGATGTATTGTTTTATTCCTGGATCCTAGGAAGATTAGCTGTTGCCTTGTTAGCAGCAAATGGGGATTCTAATAAATACTCAATCTGTTGATAGTACAATACATTTTTTGAAAAGCAAGCTCCCAACAAAGGCAGTGGAAAACAGAAATACATTTCAGTGTATACGAGATCCAGGCCGCAGCCTCCTGATTAACACGTCACATAAGACCTTAGGTACCAGTTCCTTACACTTCTCCCTATTTCCAATGATTTTCCGGAACTCAAAATATTATTTTCAGATCATTAGGCTTTCCCCAACCTTGGATGAATTACAGTCATTTGGATTACAGACAAGCAAGTGTCTCGCTTCTCATGTTTGAGGATGGCCAATATTCCTCCTATCAGTCACTATGGTTCTCTGGTCATTATAATTCTCGATTCAAGCAGTGTTAGGGCAGAGATTTGTAATGCTCTTACTATGAGGCGGAGTCGTTTAGCTGGTACTCTCTAGACCTGCCGAAGCAGATCTGAACCCCTCTGTCCTGCCATAACCTCTTGATGACCCCAGCCAGTTCAGGGGTCATGACCCCTTCCTCTGCAGAGCTGGCCAAGGCAAAAAGCTGGCGGGCATCATCCTGGAGACACAGTAAAGCAAACAACACAGTTACCAACAGGAAACAACAGCGCTGACAGCTCTCTTCCTCGTGGAAATACGGTATGACAACAGAAAAATTTCAATCACAAATAGGGTTGGGTGGCATCCAGATTTCCATACCGTGCCTGTGCCAACCCAGGATATATTGTATTACCGATAGTGCACACAAGGGGCGCTATTTCTTTCCCCAAAGCGTAAAAAAGCACCAAAAACGTAATTTACCAGAATGCTAACAAGTACTAAGGAATCCCCATAGCGGATGCTAAGTAAATGCTAACAAGTGCATGGAAACATTTACCACCAAGACAACCCAGTATCTCAAAGTACCTCAAAACGCAGTTTGCAGTTTGCACAAAATAAATATTAAACAGCAGGGATCTTAATCCAGGAGGGGATTGTCTCTGCTGCTGTTACCAAGAAGCTTGACCAGGCAAGCTAACGTTAGCCTCTTAGCTAACATTAGCAAAACCCAACTGGGGAGAATTTATTTGGCAAATCTTTGATAGTTAACTTAATAGTTATACGATATATAGCTGGGAAACATTAGTAGTGAATTTCATACAAGTGTAACTTGATCACCTCACTTAAGTTGCCCTACCGGAGTGACACTACCCTTGCAAAGCTCCCATTTTGCTTGTTGTGCTTCTTTGTAAACAAACACACGTGACTGGCTCAAACAGCTGTTTTGGGAAACTAGTACCAGTAAGCGTAATAATGAAAAATAATCTAACAGGCGAAATGATTAACGCGATCTGCTTTATCTACTACCTAGTGCACAAGTTGACTGCAGGTATTTATTTAAAAAAGTACTCCTATTCAAATTTATATAAAAAATAAATATTAAACAGTATTGATTGAAGAATGAAAATCATACCGATGGTATATCAAAATACACCGGGATACTGTATATACGGTATACCCCCCAACCCTACTCCCAAATCAACATGTTCAGTGCAGAATCTGTTTTCAAGTGATTTACTTCACATGCTGACCATCCATGTTGTTCCTAGACTGTGACCCAAGTCACAGACTGTTCTCTCTGCTACCGCACGGCAAGCTGTACCGATGCACCAAGTCTGGAACCAACAGGACCCTGAACAGCTTCTACCCCAAAGCCATAAGACTGCTAAATAGTTAGTTAAATAGTTAATCAAATAGCTACCCGGATTATCTGCATTGACCCTTTTTGCAATCACTTTTTTGACTCATCACATACACTGCTGCAACTGTTTACCATCTGTCACTTTATTCCTAGTTATATGTACATATCTACTTTGATTACCTCGTACCCCTGCATATCGACTCTGTGCTGGTACCCATTGTATATAGCCAAGTAATCGTTACTCATTGTGTATATATTATTATGTGTTTTACTTTTCTATTATTTCTCTCTGTATTGTTGGGAAGGGCCCGTAAGTAAGCATTTCACTGTTAGTCCACACCTGTTTTTTACGAAGCATGTGACGAATACAATTTGATTTGGAACAAATTGTCACTGCAGCCAGCAGATCATTCTGTTCACTGTTCTTGTAAAGTATGTACTTCCTTGTAGTCATAACATAAATATAAACAACACTTACTGTGGCATTTTACAAGGAAACATTAGTAAATGAATCTAACAGAACCTATTAAACTAATTACACTGTTATAAGAGCACTGGAATGTAAGAGAATCTTCAAGCTGACTCACTGATCGTGCTTTGTCCCCAAAGTCTATACCCAGCCTGCCCATGGCTCTGATGATGGCAATGATGGACTGGATGGTGTTGCTGTAAACCACCACCCTGTACTGGCTGCACTCCTCCTGTGTGTACCCGTCCTCATGGATAATTCTGGGGGCAGGAAGAGAAGGTTCACATGTGCATCTTACTGGTGCTTGCGGTCAACATCTAATCTAGGCCTTGTGACATGGATAACATCCTATCTCAAAGGCTCCTAGCTGATACAGCACTTCACGTGTTCCTAATCGGTCAAAAGGTATAAACAGAATGCTAGTTTCTTCTTTTCTTTTGGGTGTGCACAAAATGGTTGAAACACGTACTCACTTCATCTGCTTTACAATTGTGCTTTTCCCAGATTCCCCAGCACCTTGAAGTGGAATGTTTAGAGGCAAAGAGGGGAGACATAAGATCAGGAGCAAAGTTTCAAATCCTTAGCTCTACTAAATGTGTAGAGATATAACAACAAACATGCACAGTCAGAGCTCAGAACCAGCCGATTCCATCTGTGACAGTTCTACACCCCCCTACCGTTTTGGGGTCTTTGCACCTGCCCTGAGAATCTAGGGGAAAACATCAGGCTACATCATGACCATGAACGCTAGTGTTTTTTTAATGCAGTCTGTGGAAGACTGAATTATCATGACAGATTTCATTTGAGCAAAGAAGTAGGTTCAACAATCACCATTGCCAGATAGTCATGAGCCTACCCCATTCATAGACGCTAACTGCTTTAGCGCCTATTGACCATAGTATCTTCTGACTGGGGAAGTTTTGTTAAGAGCCCAGATGCTTGCTCTAAACATTAACACATATTGCTTGCGGTACTTTTTTGGAAACACAAGGTACATATCTTTCATATCAGCAATAAATAATTTTCAAAAAACTAAAAAGGTTAAAACACTGTTCCCACACAGCCATATCTCCATGTTACATCTCTTGTTTAAGGAAGATATAGGTCTTGTCCTATGATAATTAGCTATCTAGGGTGCTCGAACAAATGTGTGTAAGCATAGCTGGGGAGGAAGTGTAGTTCATCAACTTGCGGCACACAGGTTGTGGATCTGTGCAAAACTGCTACTGATCTTTTTTATTTGAAAGATTCTTTCTCACTGATATAAAAGATAAGGGGCATAGCATATGTTTCGAAAACCGTTTTGAAGGCGATAATTATAGACTTTTCAACATGTTAAAACACAGCCTTGGAATTGTAGTTCATATGGAGCCAAATGTGGGCCGAATGTAACGCTGAAAACCCTAAATACAGAGAAGTGTTTTCGAGAGCTAGTCATGAGCCCTACATAACAGTAATTTGATCAGTTAGACAGACTCCCTCTTCAGACCTCATATAATTTATATACTAACTGCGAATGTCAGTCACATTGGCACACTCACCTAGAAGCAACAGTTTGACTTCACTTGATGCCTTTTCGCCAGCTTCTCTCAGATTCCGATCAATGTTTTTACTCCTCTCCATGGCAGCTTTATCTTCGGCACTTAGTGTGCAACCCATTTTGATCCCAGCAGGTAAATCCTAACTACTATGATAATGTCTCGCTAATAACCTACCTGGCTTTTGACAAGCTGTCCAAATGGAAAAAACGATGGTGTTCAGTAAAAAGAAAGGGAAGACATTCTAACTCTACAAAATTGTATTGCTGTGTCTGTCAAGTGCTTGACGCAGAATTCTGTCAACTACGACACATTTTCAAACGAATTGTGTGCGACGACGAGCATGAAGGGGAAAAAAGGAAGGGGGAAAGGCGTTGGCCGGGAAGCTAGCACATGTTAGCCATAACAATAGTTGTTAGCTTTTCTATGTACATGTAGGAAGCCGAATACTTTTGATAGAAGAGCAAGCAAATTCAAAATTCATACGAAGAAAGAAATTAAGTTAAAGCTTGGCTAGCTAGCTAACGTTATAATGTTACTACCTGTATGTTCTTTCTGCGTTGCGTTGGCTTAGAAAGTGTACAAATTGAGCTAGATAGCGATGTTAAAACTTAATAGCTACAATCTCAACACCCTAGACTGTGACTCAAAATACTTACACACTTCTAAATACTATTTGCTATTAACTGTTCTAAATTGTCTGGTCCTCCAATAATGCAGAAGAGCAAAACATGTTTACTTTCAGAGCGATGTTACGCGGAAATCGAGGAAAATGATTGCCAGCCTGATGGGAAATGAAGTCCATATCTATCAGTAATTGATTACAGTGATTCTCAACCAGGGGGTCTAGGAGAACGTAGAGAGTTTTTAGGGGTCCCTAAAAAAAAGCATAAAAATAACACATTGAAAAGTACAGTAGCACCCATCCCCTCTGTAGTATTTACATTTAAGTCATTTAGCAGACGCTCTTATCCAGAGCGACTTACAGTTAGTGAGTGCATACATTTTCATACTGGCCCCCCGTGGGAAACGAACCCACAACCCCTGGCGTTGCAAGCGCCATGCTCTACCAACTGAGCTACACGGGGCCCCAGTTTCTATAGTAAACTGTAGTATATTATACTACGCACTGTGGTATCCCTCGATCATGTGTAGGACTTACTATAGAATATTGTAGTATACTGTAGAATACTATAAAAGTGTAGTGTTTTTGCAGACTGTAGGGTTTTTGTGGATATTACTGTAGTACTTACTACAGTGTTTTTTGTGTGGATAATACTGTAATATTTACTATAGTATTCTACAGTATACTACAATATTCTATAGTAAGTCCTACACATGATCGAGGGATACCACAGTGCGTAGTATAATATACTACAGTTTACCATAGAAACTGGGGCCCAGTGTAGCTCAGTTGCAGTGGCGGCTCCTGAAAAAATTCTCAGGGGGGGCAATTTTTCTGATGATTTAGGTGACCTACACACATTTTAAAAAAGATATGTCCAGCAACAACATGAAGACAGGGGCAGCATATAAGTCAATGCCAGAAGCATTTATTGACTGATCTCAAAAGTGTTGGCTTACAAAAGCAAAATAAGTTATCACAGTAAAAATAATCAAGGGTGTTCTTTCACATTCCTCAACACTGCATAAACAATATGCATTTCCATAAACAAATGAAATATCAGCTGAAAATACAGCATCTTGGTATTTGTTCAGATTGCAGGATCAACAAGAGCTTTTACCACATTTTTTGCCTCATGGTTGAATTGGAAATATGTGCACCTGAGCATAATTCACAACAAGCAAGCAGGAGCTTTTGATAGAGGCTACTAAAAACATTGATGCAAGTTATTGGTAATAAGAAATTTTTATAGACTTCCATATTCTGCCCTCTTGTATAGATTTGTGAAAATGAACAGTGATAGACATTTTGCCTGAAAACAGAATTTGAAAATAATTTCTAGAAAAGGTAAACACAGCTATCTGTATGGCTTTGTAAAAATGAACAACCATATTCTGGCCAATTGTATAGATTTGTAAATATGAACAACCATATTCTGGCCAATTGTATAGATTTGTAAAAATGAACATGAACAGATTATTTTCTTTTTTTTACTTTTTTTAAAATGAAAAATAACTATTTTAAACAACATCAACTGTGAACTGATTTGGGCGTGTGTGTGTTAAAGAGACAGACAGGGAGGGACAAAGAGAGAGAGAGGCTACATTACTTGTACTGAAACTGTTCTCTTCTCTCTTTCAATGCAGCAAAGCGGTCAATGACTTTCTCATTGAAATCAGGCATGCTGAGGACTAGTTCCCTCTCCATGGAAAGCATGGCCAGTGCATTCAGACGTTCCTGGCCCATTGAATTTCGCAGGAATGTCTTAACTCGTGTCAAAGTTGAGAAACATCTCTCAGCTTCAGCTGTTGTCATGGGAGTAGTTATGAGGATGTTCAACAGAGTCACAGTCTCAGAGAACGTCTCCTGGAGGTTGTAGCTCATGAGAACCTGGTACAGTGCCAGTGCACCACAGTTTGACTTTCACGTCGTCGGCAAAAAGACCGTTCAGTCTCTCCAAAAGCACACTGGCGATTGAGACTGAGGTTGATTCCGAGATGGGAAGGAACTCAAAAAAGCGCTCCTGCACTTTGTGGTTGCTATCTATGTACCTCAGCACAAGCACCAGCTGTGTCTGTGTAGAAACGTCCGTGGTCTCGTCAGCTTGGATAGCTACGAAGTTCGCCGACTTCACCTCCTCCACAATATGTTCCCTCATGACCGCTAGCATACACTCCAGTAGCTCGTTTTGAATGGTCTTTGATGTGAACTTATTTCAAAGAGACATTCGAGTTGCACTGAACGCTAGCCATGTTGATAGTAGTACGTGAATTGATTGACGCTGCTACCCGCTCTTTTCTTAGTTACGTTCATGGTTATGTTACGTATGACGAAAGCGCGTAAGTGCAAGCCCTCAGAAACCCATAGAGATTGTATTGAAAGCTCTGATATTTGAAAAAAATAGATTTTACATGATAGTCTATGAGAGACCCCTGGGCGATTTTCAACCTGACTGAAATCGCCCCAAAAGGGGCGGGGCCATTTGAAGCACGACTTTAGCCTGATTGGACATTTAGTGGCAGATCAGATCAGACGTCTAAATTAGAACACTGATAACTACTGTTGCCGTGATATAATTGATTAGAAAAAAAATCCCTTCCTTTTCCCGTTTGGCAGTGCGTCGCCCATATCGCCCTAATGAACACACCGCCCCTGCTCAGTTGGTAGAGCATGGCGCTTGCAACGCCAGGGTTGTGGGTTCGTTTCCCACGGGGGGGGCAGTATGAAAATGTATGCACTCACTAACTGTAAGTCGCTCTGGATAAGAGCGTCTGCTAAATGACTAAAAATGTAAAAATAAATAAAAATCTATAGTAAACTGTAGCATTTTCTTATGTGGGTAGCTGGACTGGTTTACTATTTTACCAACATCCATTATGCTTACTACTGTGCATACAGTGCAAACAAGTAATGACAATTGTAACAAACAAAACCTGAATGTGCTTTCATGTAGAATTCTAGCCATTGGTGGTTGTGAACATATCAGGACTTGTGAAGGATTCCAACAGGAGAAGCTCCTCCCACCACCCACTACTGAGAAATGTCAGTGGTTATATGTTGCCATGGGAATGGCAGAGCCTGGAGAAGCTGGGGGTGGGTTGACTGAGGCCCTTTGCTGAGGATGAGGTGTGAGGCGAGGCCTTTTGATTTTCAACATAAATGTACCATGCGCACACAGCAGCAAGACAGTGGTAAAAAACTACAGAGCATCTCATGCATAGTATTACGCTTTTTGAACAGAGTCAGATTTATCTGTTGAAGTTCACTCTACTCTTTATTTGATGTGTTCACTGTAGAGTTAATTGCAACTAAAGAATAATATATTATTTCCTACACTGTAAATTGTGTTACTGCTGATTATTTCAACAGTATCTATTTGTCCTAAGCTGGTAAACCCTATCCTCCACACTGTCTATCCATCACTCAAAATACAGTGGGGAAAAAAAGTATTTAGTCAGCCACCAATTGTGCAAGTTCTCCCACTTAAAAAGATGAGAGAGGCCTGTAATTTTCATCATAGGTACACGTCAACTATGACAGACAAAATGAGGAAAAAAAATCCAGAAAATCACATTGTAGGAAGTTTCTCAATACTTTGTTATATACCCTTTGTTGGCAATGACACAGGTCAAACGTTTTCTGTAAGTCTTCACAAGGTTTTCACACACTGTTGCTGGTATTTTGGCCCATTCCTCCATGCAGATCTCCTCTAGAGCAGTGATGTTTTGGGGCTGTCGCTGGGCAACACGGACTTTCAACTCCCTCCAAAGATTTTCTATGGGGTTGAGATCTGGAGACTGGCTAGGCCACTCCAGGACCTTGAAATGCTTCTTACGAAGCCACTCCTTCATTGCCCGGGCGGTGTGTTTGGGATCATTGTCATGCTGAAAGACCCAGCCACGTTTCATCTTCAATGCCCTTGCTGATGGAAGGAGGTTTTCACTCAAAATCTCACGATACATGGCCCCATTCATTCTTTCCTTTACACGGATCAGTCGTCCTCGTCCATTTGCAGAAAAACAGCCCCAAAGCATGATGTTTCCACCCCCATGCTTCACAGTAGGTATGGTGTCCTTTGGATGCAACTCAGCGTTCTTTGTCCTCCACACATGACGAGTTGAGTTTTTACCAAAAAGTTATATTTTGGTTTCATCTGACCATATGGCATTCTCCCAATCCTCTTCTGGATCATCCAAATGCACTCTAGCAAACTTCAGACGGGCCTGGACATGTACTGGCTTAAGCAGGGGGACACGTCTGGCACTGCAGGATTTGAGTCCCTGGCAGCGTAGTGTGTTACTGATGGTAGGCTTTGTTACTTTGGTCCCAGCTCTCTGCAGGTCATTCACTAGGTCCCCCTGTGTGGTTCTGGGATTTTTGCTCAACGTTCTTGTGATCGTTTTGACCCCACGGGGTGAGATCTTGCGTGGAGCCCCAGATCGAGGGAGATTATCAGTGGTCTTGTATGTCTTCCATTTCCTAATAATTGCTCCCAC